AAACTGAGAAAAACTGTGGGAAAAATGTAAACTAACTCGCATGTTTCTAGGTAATTTCATAAAAATATAAAGAGTACATCATTAAAGTGAAGTAAAACAGAACCGAATTTTTTCCGTGTTAACAACAATTAAACAATTTACAGTCACTGTTTTTCTTGAAAAAATATGTACCTACTGATGGGATTTAATCATGGTCTTGTGTTAGTATTAATTATGAAGTTATGTTGTTTTATTAGTGCTATACTTAACGAAAATAATAATAATAATTTCAGATATTTACAGTAAAGTTGTTTTCGTCATTCCTGAAAAAAGTTCAACTAAAGTATCGTATTTGTCCATAATGACGAATGACTAATTTCATGTGTTTTCGACGTTTGATAGCTACTAAAACATGAAAATAAAGGTCGCCCGTTTCCGTTTGTTGACGATTTTATTAAAGAAACCGAAACCACTGGACAAATTACTGTGAAATTTTAGGATAATCATATAGATGGTAAAATGCTAACCAAAACTCCAACTTAATATAAAGTAGCCAGTCCAACGCAGAAACAACGGCAATATCGCGGGCAGTATTTTTTTTTCTTTTTGGTATACCTACATAAATGAAATTCGTCTTGCTCTCTTTGACATATAAACATAAAAAAAAACGGACGCGATATACATATAACCATGCTTATTATTAAACCTATTACTATTGTTCCTCTTCCTTTGGACGCTCTCCTTTTTTTTCCTCACCCACTTTTACTTCCCGGGCGATAATTAAATAATGTCTTGTAATAGGGATTTTGGCGAATGTCTAATTTTGATGGCGTTTCACAGGTTGTAGTGTATGAAAAAAAAGGGGAAAGCCAGCGATCGATTTCTTTCAAACTCACATGAATATTTTGAAGATCCTTGAACGTTAAAAAACACCATCAAAGACAGCCAGGTATTGAAAATTTGTCTTTGACTGTAGCATTTTCTTTTGAAACTTTTCAAATTTGTAATTTGACAAGACTAGTCTTTTTGCAGCCTTCTGGGTATTATGGTGCTTACTTTTACTTTTAATTTACAAATTAAGATAAATCCTGGCTTTCAAAATCACTTCTGTAGAAGATGTGATATAAATTGCTCTTGTCGAAATAACGAAGCTGGAAGTTGTCCGACTCGCAAGAAAATAAAAAACTGATACCATCGTCTTTTATGGGATATTTCTGAATTGCGCGACAAGAGTGGCAGTATTCATTGTACAGAATAAAAATCTCACGTCTCCAATTTGTTGCATACTGTAATTTTTTAAGATGACGTCGTACATTTTTTTGTTGAGGTAAATATACTGATTTTGAAACATCGGGTGATTTTTAAAATTTCTGCTCTAGTTGGCCATGACGCTTAGGTCAGTCGTTTCAGTTCCACTTCTAACGTATGCGTCGTGGCCAGCTAGAGCATAAATTTAAAAAATCACACGGCATAATAGTAATTATTATTATCTCACGGTGTTCCTAAAATTTCATCCACTTTGCACCGGTTATGTAAAAAAGCGCGTTGTTGCCAGTACTCAAAATTCTCTTTCAGAGAGTTGCTATATTCGAATTGGAGAAAAAATGTGTTTTTGAGATTTTATAATATAGCAAGGCAATTTGATAGTATCTCAGTTTAATAAAAATTGCAAAAAAGTAGCGCTGCAAATGGAACTTTCGTGTTTCTGATACATATTTAACCATAAAAATCCTATTAATAAGAATTATTACAAACACAGAAAAGTATAATTAAGTTGATTCTTAATTTAAAACAAAGACATTATTGCAAACCTGTATTTATAAAAGAATAAAGTTTAACCTTCTCTAGTTGCTATATATACAGGCTGAGTCACTAAGCGCGTGTTCCTCGATAACTCATTAATTATTATTAGAAATAGAACAAAAAAGACAACAGTGGTACGGTTTTGAAAGTAGCATACACAAAAATTATTTTCAACCGTGTGTTCTGTTTTTGAGGTGTAACATACAACACAGTTTTTTTTTTAAATAGAACTTCCTTTTCATGTTTTCTTGACGTTTCATGACCCCAAGAGTACGAAAAAGTTGGTCTTTTATTTCCGTTTGTCTGTTGTGTGTTTGTTTGTCGTCTGTCCAGATTTTTACTCGATAGATAATCTCTCAAACTACCTAATCATCCCTACCAACAATGTGTTGACATTCCGTTAAAATTTTTTGGTAAGAAGGATTTAAATTTTATAATATAACATACTTCTGTACTTGTCGTTCATAAATCAGCTTTGAAATTTTCCCCAAGGGATCCAAAATTTCGCAAAAAGTCAAACTGTCACTGCTATTATCTATGTTTTTTTATTGATCAAATCCTAAGTGTTTTATTATTATTATTACACTGCACGTGTCGGAATTGACATACTCGCTAGAAATACCGGTATAATATTGCCCTTTATCGATGGATTCATATTTTTGGAGCAATTGCATCCCAGACGATGTATGAACAAGTAATATAATGGCATTCGAATCATAGGCAACGGCCTAGTATGGGTAATTAAAGAATGATACATTTGAAAATTCGGAAAAACAAGCACTACAAGAATTAATAAATATATAATATAATAAAAAGTTGAATGTCGTAGACAAACACACGAAAAATTATAGGTCGTCTAACCATATTCATTGGATCTTACACTGTTACTGGTATTACTTACCTAATCTGTACTTGTTTTAATGTATAGAGGTTATCACAAATATTCGCAAAATCAATTTCTTTCATTTTTTCAAAGAAGCGAGATTTGTTGAACTGTACTTCAGGGACTCGGCAAGTCCTGTGGAAATAACCTTCCACCAATTTTTATACATTTATTTTAAACGATCTCTTCGTAGGCTTTATAATCATACAAAATGGTACATTTTCGTAAGGAAATATGGATTTTGCAATTATGGGCCGGAGCCTAATTAAGTTTCCTGTTGTGAAAAGAATTCTACACATATTAAAACAAAAAGACAAACTGTGAGCCCGCCCACCCGCCCTATCTCAATTGTGATGATTTTTTTTTATTCGTCCTGAACCAGGGGGGCGAAACTTAACTGCAAAATATTTCTTTCTTTACGGGAAATTAAAAACATGTTTTTGAGTATCGTGTTGTTTAAATAATACTATGTATATTAACACAAAAAGGCAAAATATAAACCCCGCCCACCCACCCTGTCTCAATTGTGATGATTTTTGTTTTTTCTTAGAAACTTAAAACACATTTAAAATGGTAAATTTTTGTAGGGAAATATGGATTTTGCAATTAGGCTCCGCCCCTAAGTCTGGCAACGAATGAAAACTTCATCACTATATATTTAGACCAGAGCAGGTATGGGTGGGGCTTAATCTTTGGTTTTAATTTTTTCTTAATACACATAGTTTTCTTTGAACAACACGATACTCAAAAACAGGTTTTAAATTTCTCGTAGAGAAATAAGGATTTTGCAGTTCAGCTTACGACGAATAAAAAAAAATCACCACAATTGAGATAGGGCGGGTGGGCGGGGTTACATTTTGCCTTTTTTTCTTAATGTGTAGTATCTGTCTGTCCGGATTTTTATTAGAAAGATACTATCCGAAACTACTGGACCGATTGTTGTCAAATTTTATATGTGTATTATGAATATCATGTAAACGGTAAAACGCTAACCAAACTTTATCTAATTATCCCCACCAAACTCAGTATTTGTTCGAAATTTGCACAATTTTGCTAAATATGCACAGTTTTACGCCCTTTTTTCTGTTATAATTAACAATCAGATGTTTTTCCAAATTTTTCGTTGTTATCACAAAAACGAAAATCGCAAAATCAAATTTTATAATATTATAAAGAAGCAAAGTTTGTTAGGCGAAAATGTGGGACGTACTTTTTAGTACTCTAGGGGTGATGAAACGTAAAAAAACATGAGTATGTAAAAATATACAGGCTATTCTGTACAAAAAAATGTATGTTATGTTTCAACAACAAAACACTGTATAGTTGAAAATAACTTTGGTGTATGCTTTTCAAAGAACTGTACAACTTTAGTCTTTAACTTTTTTTTTTTTTGTATCTCTAATAATAATAATAACTAAGGAGATATCGCGTAGCGCGCGGTTAGTGACTCACCGTATATATAAATGTGCAATGTTTGTTTTTCATAATTCACTTCTATTTGTAAACAATAGTATTTACCACAACTGTAACACGAGAATTAAAGGATCTCTAAGGGTAACTGGGATACCACTGCAAGGAGTTATTCAATTATAAACCTATTCACATAGCAAAGTCTACATGCAGATTCAATAGCAATTTTTTAAAAATACTTCCTTAAATCTTATCTGAATTTTTTTAGTAGATGTATGTTTACATTTTATTGTAATTTTATCTGTGAAAATCTTTTCATTTTTGATAGTTGAGAGACAATGCATTGTTTTTTACGCGCAGTAAATGTTACTATTATTATGGATTAAATTTAGTTGTAAGTTAAAAGTAGTACAGGCTGTGCATCCAATATAACAATAATTGTTATTAATTCATTGTTTAGGCGTCTATTGTACTCAAATCGGACAATACGCGTACATCAAGTCTGAAAATAATTTGCATCACACAACAATACAGAGTAAAAACATCTTTTGTCATTCGTTTTACTATTAAAGTGATTCTGTTAGACAATAACGTTTGTGCTAAATCAATAAAACAACTTAAGAACGACCGTCATCCAATTTTGAGCGAACGTCTAATACTTGTGTAAATTCCGGGAGGACGTCAAAGATCATGTGCTTACTAGAAGCAAACGATAATGTAGGATATACAGTGGGTAGTAAAAAAACATTTCTCGCTACTACCACGCTTTTCGTCCAAAGAATACGTCAAAACCACGGAAAACTGCATCAATCTACCAGGTGCTATATTTATAGGACGAGGGCGCTTTGGTCCTGCGCTTGCGTCGAAAATGTCAATTAGACGACATGCTACGCTCGCAGCTCGCAGGAAACGATGATATTTCATTGTACTGTCGGGGACGTTGGGAGCAGTAGATCAAAGCGCGTTGTGGTGGAGGCGGCGTCGGTACGCTGCTTTTACTCCGCTCATTACTCGTCAGACAGCGTTTTCTCGCATTATCGATTCGATTTAATCCACTCAGTTTTCCACTGGTAATTATTTCGGCCGCGCTTCTATTGGTCGTTATTCAGCGGTTCCATCAACCCCAAGTTCCCATGTTTCTCTCATGTTTACCCTGCTGACTCAGGGGAGAAACTTTTTTAATATTCGAATCGTGTCCATAGTCGAACATGCTGCTACCAACAAACTCAACACCTGTCGGTTTTCAGCAAGAACTTTATCACAGTGTTACGGAAAAAACTAAGTTTTTTGCCTCGAAATGTCTGAATAGGAGTATGAGTCCTGGTGGTGATAGAATGAACGATTCGTTTCGGGGGAAGTTCAGGCTTTGCGTTTGCACGCTACCGAGGAAAAATAACAAAAAAACCACCAAGTGGTACGTAAAGGTAAGCAGATTAAGAGATCCTGCACGAATTCTGTGTTTGTATATAGTGTGTTTTTAGATTTTATTTGTTGGTACTAATTTGTGTAACTGTAACTGAATGTCAAGATTTAGCGCTTTTGGTAATAACTAGAAACCGAATTTTCATTGTTAAATTATTTGAAAACATATTAAACCCCAATTAGAATATATGTGTAAGCGCTTTCTCTGAACCAAGCATTTTTTTCTGCCTCGCCAATGTAACTCATCCGTATTTGTTTAGTAGATTAAGAAGTTAAATACAAATGTTTCAACAAACATTTACTATTAGTATCTGGCTTCTTAAGTGATACCGATAAGTTTGTGTAACTTGAAATTGCCGGCTTTTCCTATCTGTTGTGGAAAATTGCGATTTTAACGTTTCCGGTGTAAAACGGTGATGCAGCAGTTTGACAGCTTTTAATTGTTGATTGCTGCATAAAATACATGAAAATAACATGAAGGTCACTTAGTAGGTGTTTATGTCGCGAATATTTTTGTTTTAATACTTGTTTATAAATGCACTAATTACAAAATTATTGCTGTCGTTGGAATTTTATTTTGTAGTTTTAAAAATTTACGTTGATATTTATGTAGTGTTGGTGTTTTCCAGTATCCAGACCTACACAAAATTTTAATATTGACTTCTCGTGCCTTATTTACATCTCATTATCCAAATTTGTAAGTCAAAAATTTGCGTCTACACCGAGTTATACAATTGTCATCATGATTTTACATCTTGCATAAAGGTGACATTTTAACATTGAATGGTGACAGTTTAGACAGCCAGAATTAAATTTCATCAACGAATTCATAAATGACTAATTTATATAAGAAAACAAGAAAACTGTTAAGATTTTAACAAACATCAACATTTCGTATTTCGTATTCTATAAGAAATGAAAAATATTTTTTTGTTATAACAATATAATCGCTAATTTTGAAAATAAATTTAATGTTTCACTGAAAAAAAAATTTTTTTAAAGTCATAACAAAAGGACACAATCAAGTAATATACATATATATTTAAAACTTGTTTCTTTTTATTATTTTTTTTAGTTAACATTAAAAAAGAGTCATAAGTGAATCTTCTTTTTGGAAGTAAAATAGCTTACATATATGTACAATAATTTTATTTTAGAATTTATTTCTTATAATTACTTTACCAAAATGTATGATTTTTCTAATTATATGTGCCCCACTAAAGTTGGGAACTTATTGTTGTTGCTTAACACGTTAAAAAAACTAAATAATAAAAAAATTACTCGACTCACTAAGAGGTGGTTTTCTGAAAAAGAAAAAAAAGAAAAAGAAAATCCAGTTCCCAAAAATGAAAAAATACCGGAAACTCGGGTAATATTAAAACACTGCAAATATACCTGGTTTCCCATTCAGTAAACTAGGAAATTGTTTAGATAATTTTTATCTTTTTATTGTTTTTATCTCTTAGATCGTACTACATATTATTCAAATACGGTGTTTTTCATTTGTATTATTTTCTTTTTAATAAATTGGCACTGTTTTTAAGTTTTTACAGTACTATTTTAAAGTGTTTTCCACTTTTTGTCTATTAGACACTTCATCTTTGTGAATATTATTTTGGCTTATTTTTTATGATTTTTCTCAGAATGCATAGTTTTTGAATTACGAAAAAGATATTCAGTTTAAGTTCCTTAAAATTACAAATGCCAAAAATGTAAATTTACCATTTAAACATTGAAAGCATTTTTGTGAACAAAAACTATCAGCAGAAATATTTGCGTGGATGTGTTCAGAAAAACTCCTAGCTAACATGTTCTCTGAATACATGAATAATAATTTTCAGTCTACCTGGACCTCATTTTTTGCATATAAAAAGTTTGCCAACAGTATATTATTTGTTATATAAACATTACGAATTGAACCAGATTTTTATATAACACTAGTCTTTATCAAATTATTTTGGGACAACTTGGAATAAATATACAGGGTGAGAAAAAATGACGTATTTGCTCGATGGTACATTGTAATGAAGGCTCTTTAGAAGTCGAAAAAAGTGGGTAAAAAAATTTCTGCGAAAATTGAAGTCTTCGTGATTTTGGTAGTTTTAATATTATTAAACAGTAAAAAATGACGTGAATCGTATTCTAACAAATTATTGTTAAATTATTAATAACTAATTGTTTAAATGTCTATTACACAATGCAGTTCATTAAAACAAATCAGAATTACGAAGTTCAGTTTTTTTATATGTTAAAAGTGACTGCCTTTTTGTATCGTTAAATTATTGTACCTTGATTACAGCAGCTGAAAATTTGTTTCATGTGCAAAAAACATCATTTCATTGAAACTAAATTTATATTCATTGTTAATGACGGTAGTAGATACATCAAAATTGCTGTTTCGTCACATTAATGGCTTGCGGATGCAATTCCATTCTTTGGAAACATTTTGTATAATATTAATGTAATTACATAATGTAACCCTCTGTACTTAAAATCGAAAATGTGTCAGTTTCTTTTTCAGATACGGCAATTTTAACTGAACATGAAAGCGGCAATTATCAATATAACCACTTAGTATAAGGTTATTGTCACATAATTGCAAGTTTCGAAATCCAGTATTTGTTACGAACCAGCGTACTAGTCAAGGCCAAGTCATTCTTATGTAAATTTTCGGAATTTCAATATATTTTAACAATCTGCGGACGCCACACATCTGTGGATACATCAGTCCGTTCCGCAAGAATTTCCAATTTGAGGGAAACAACAGCATCCAACAACAAACTTGTATCAAAATTCAGGCCAGATTTTAGATTCGAAATCCATTTCTGCGAAATAAGCCGAATACCATTTGCGTCCCCTTTCCCGTCATGCTTTTTAGGGCTAAACGACCACCTATAGTTTGTGCATTTAGGGCTTTTTCCGATTTGTCCGATTTGTCACGTCTTGTGATGTTTATGACGGGAAAGACATTAAGCTTGTTTACAGCTCGTTCCTTGCGTTTGACATCAGACTTGGGCTATTCCAAGGGTGGTAGCCGTAATAATAAATCCCATTGGCTTCGTGTTGCTACACACCCTATAAACTCTATTAAAAGATAATGGGAGAGCTGCACATTTTCACAGTTGTGTTTAGATTTTGTAAGTGATTGACATTTTATAGATGCGTTGTTGTAAACGGGATCAAGGATAGTACTTGGGAATCTATGGATCGTTATATTTAGGTCAGAATGTGTTGGATGTTAAAAATTATTGTGTAAATAGGAATTTCTTTTCAGGCAACTAAAAGCCGCGGGAGGCCTTTATTTGGCCAAGATGTTGACATTAAGTCAGGTGGAGGAAAGATGTTTGTGACAGTTGTGAGGGTGTGGTGAGGGGTGAAATTTACATTGATTTTTATAGTGTGCTATATTTAAATTCTACGAAAATGTGTACAAGTTGCAGTCGTATGACTTAAAATTGACTACTTTAACGAAAACAAAAACCAGATTTTTTTCGTAGAATTGTCTGAATTCTATGAAAACATTATCAGATTTGAATTTATTGTTTATCAGGTTTTGAAGCAGTATAAATTTCCTAAAATAATAAACTTATCATCGAGTCTAATATTAATTGAGTGATTATCAAAAGCTCTCTTATCCATTACATTTACCAAATAACCAACGCCAAGTGTTGACAACTGAAAAACAATCGCTTTGTTGATATGCATAATGGTACACTTCATTTTTGTATTTTTTTCTGTACTCATGCGTTGGATACACGTGATTTCAGGCGCATGTTTATGAAAAGAAAATTTTCTATGCAGCGGAAACGTGATGCATTGAAAAATATAACGTGGCTATTGTCCTATTGATATCTAAATGTCACAAGTTACGAGTTACATTACTCGACGCTGTGTTTTTGGAACGCTCATGTAATATTTAAGCTTTGATTAAACTGAAACTATTTACACTATTTGTGTACACATTTAATCTCCGCAAATAGGTGTAACATATTTGAAGGACATAGTTTGAACTGATTATCACTAAAAATAGCGTAAACAGGAAGTACAATTTTTGAATTTTTATGAAAAATTCGTCGTGTTTTTGGAATTTGATTTATTTTTATTAGGAGCCAACTAAATGTAGTGGACGTGTTTTCTTCATATTTTGATAATAAAATCAATATTATTTTTGGACTAGATCAACACAGATTGTCGCAGCTTGATAAGAATAAGATATTGTGTTCACATTTTATCCGCAGCCGTTTACTCCCTCAAGAACGCGATAAAGGATTTCTCGATTTTATCTCTTTTGTTCGCGAAATATGATTTAGAACCATCGTTGTTATGCTTTCCGTGTTGATAGTGATTTATTGCCCTTTCACGTGGACGATTTTCCCTAATCTAAATTTACGCGAATCCTTGGTGTCTGTTTATTTGATTTCTGCCAGGAACTGATACAAATATGCAAAATTACATCTGGATGCATTAACGTGCCAAAGATTAATGGCTCGCTTGGAAAAGAGGGACGCGAATTTGTCTAATAATCAAATTTACAAGTTGTTTCCTCTGAATCGATCGTAATAAAATTTCAAATCAGGGTTGAAGGACTCGAGGCGCAGTCAATCTCACTTTGTACACGCATGAAGGGAAAAAACCGAGCAATTGTTTTTTGCAGTTCTCTTATGTCTTTTAATTAAATTGTTGGAGGTCGTGTCATTGCCCATTTATTTATGGGGAAAACGTCTGACGGAAATGTGTTTATTTTCACCTTGTTGAAGCAGATCGATAGACACTTTGAGGAATGTAGAGCGTCATTACTTGAAGGGATTTTCCTCCAATCAATCTATATTTTATTCAGAACGTTGGCAGTTCTTAGTATAAAATAATTCAATTCTGTCAATAATCGTATTATTTTGGTGAAACACATTCATCCCTTTGTCAGAACTGTTTGGTTGAAATGTCAACAACAATGGAAGTTTCGGTGGCCCACTGGAGTACACGATTTGGTGATGTTACTTGTCTG